AAGGCATCATAATTATAAAAAATGTTTTTTCACATTCTTGAGGGCTAGAGCCTCCTCCAACAAATTTGGACTGGGGCCGCACAGCCGAACCCTTGCAGAAGGCCCTGCTGCTCCCCTATGTGCCGAGAGGCCACATAGGGGAGCAGCAGGGCCTTAAAAGTTCTCTACACAAATTCTCCAAGTGGATCTATTTCTCGGTTGGCAAGATCTGAATAGATTGCCCACGTTTAACACTAATAATGACTCTCTTGTACGACGCCTTCTTCCCTTGTGTATAACCCATGCGTCGTTTCTTCCTCGGCGGTCGATGGGTATTAACACCAATAACTTCCACCTGAAATAGCTGCTCCACAAGTGTCTTTATCTGTGGCTTTGTAAGCTTTAGATCCACATCAAAAGTGTATTGATTCATATCCATCAGCCTAACCGATTTTTCAGTTAAGACCGGGTATTTTACTAATTCGATGATCATAGTGGAATGTGTGAAAACGTCTTGAGCGAAAAGGCAAGAGCAAGAACCTCTTCTTGCGAGCCTCCTTTAAAGCAACAATCCCTTCTGGCTTCGGGATCTGATCCTATCTGTATTCCATACCGTTTTGTGTTCCGCTCAACAGCCGCAACAAGTCCTTAGATTTGCTTTGTTCCAACAGAAGAGGGCACTCGTTCAGCGAGTTGGGGGCAGGAGATGAGGGAGGTACCCTCTTGCATCTCTTGCATCCCTTGCACCCCTTTAGGGGTGCATGGGATGTACGGGCTGTGGTTGGGGGAGGGAACCTTCCCCCTCTTGCATCCCGAAGGGATGCACGGCCTTGCATCCCATGCACCCCTAAAGGGGTGCAAGGGATGCACGGGTTGTGGTTGGGGGAGGGAACCTCCCCCACGCCCCTGCCCCCTCGATGGCCGGGGGTGGCCATCGAACCCCCATCCCATCGAACCCCACGCCCCTGCCCCTATCCCATCGGGTCCCCCTCCCCTAACCCACAGCCGAACATCTGTAAGACATGTGCTGTTACAAGTGTTACAAATGGATGCACTTGTTTGCAGTTACTTCAACCACAAGTAGATGTGAATTGAAGTGTTAATGCTAACTAGTGCCAACCTAGTGGGAAGATTATTGAGGTTTATCCTTTCTCGCTTCAGGCGTCGTAGATTTAGCCCAGTTCTGTTCACAGCTCTAGTGTAGGTGGCGACATTTACGGCTATATAGTTCAATATACAAATTAAAAGTTTAAACTTACTTAAACCAATCTTTTAGGTCACTTCTTATACAGCAGAGGGGTAAAGATAAGGTTTATACTGTCATCAAGGAGAGACGATTGTCTTTTGAGACCTTAATTCGATTGACACGGGGCGCTTACCCACTTGGGGGTCGATATCCACTTGTTCAGCGCTTGGGGGAGGTTCCCTCCCCCACAGCCGAATCTTTCTGAGGCCTGAGAGCGCCTCTGGGAGGCTCAGTCCTGCATCCCTTGCACCCCTAAAGGGGTGCATGGGATGCAAGAGGAGGCTGGCGTGCCTAGCTCCCAAACACCACACCTAGGGTTACCAGCTTGATTTTGTCACACCCGGCAACAAGCAGTCATGTGCCATTTCACGGAGAACGTGTCGTGACAAGCCAAAATCTCGGAAATAGCCTTTTGGTCGGCCTGTCAAGAGACAGCGATTGTGCAACCTTGTGGGGCTACTATCTCGAGGTAATAGTTGTAATTTTCTATGGATAGTAAGCTTCTCTTCGAATACTTCTGTCTCGCGGATTTGTTGCTTTAACTCATCTCGCTTATTTTTGTAAGTCATTACGAGGCGCTGTCGTTTACGCTCGCGTTCAATCATGCTTTTCTTTGCCATAGGGATTTTGTTTGTTTAAGTCTACTTATAGAGCGCCCTCTTCACCGTCTCAAATGGATTTGACTGTGGGACCTCTCTGCCCCAATTTGCTGAACGGTTTATGTCGACGAAGGTTGATTCTTATTTATAAACGGAAGCAACCCCATGATCCTCGCATTCTTAATCGCTCTGGCCATGTAACGTTGTTGCTTGGCTGTTAATTGGCTGCTTCGTCGGGGCAAGATTTTTCCTTCTGCAGTAATGAATTTACGTAATAAAACAATGTTTTTGTAATCGATTGTTCCTTGAAAAGTCGGCGATTTTGGGCGCGATCTCTTTTGAACAATAGCAATCACAGGGGATTCTTGAGATGATTTAGATTTAAAACGACGATTTGCAAATCTCATAATTGTAAGCTGTCTAAAACTGTCCAGAATTAGCTGTCAAGGCTGACGCGAAGCGGCTCGAAACTGGGAAGAACCTATTATTCGATCGCTTGCGAAGGCCTTACAGGTGTTTGTCCTTCCGGCGGACGGGTGGATATCAAAACCCCAAAGTAAAGCAATTGTGCCCCAACTCGTTAAACGAATTGGAGCCCCCCCCCGATGGTCGGTGGCTATAGGGGCCCTTTCCCATCCCAATGAACCCTTGCGCTCTGTCCTTTCGAACCGCAGGGCCTTCCGTCAGACGTAGTTAACGCGCCGTTGGACCGGTTGGGCGGCGCGGTGGACGATGCGACGTTTCATTGACCAAATGGGATAAAGATGTGTTATCTCGTATAGCCAATCGAAGAGGCGGCCCATGGGAAAAAGTAAGGTGCGGTCCTTTATCCCTTAAATTGCCTTCTTGCTAAGCTCTATCAATTCTTGGAAAGCGTATCTGTCACATACCGCAAGTTGGGCTAACACTTTGCGATTAAGGGCTGCCTTGGCTTTCTTTAATGAATAAAGAAACTGATTATAAGTTAGACCATGTGCCCTTGTAGCGGCATTTATCCTTGCAATCCATATGCTTCGGAATTCTCGCTTCCGCTGCTGCCTGTCACGATACGAGTTTTTTAATCCCTTTAATGCATGTTGATTGGCGACACGGAACAGAGTAGATGAAGAACCACGGAATCCCTGAGCAAGTTTTAATATCTTTTGGCGCCGCTTTCTAGCGACGCTCCCACGCTTTACTCTAGTCATCTTTTTCTTTGAATATTTGTGTTCTAATTAGTCACCGTAAACCTACACGGTGAGAATCTCGATGGATTCCAGGTATTACAGGCCCCACACCTCGTTCAGCGAAACGCCGAACGGTTATGAGGCCCGTGTAGCCTTCGAACTCCCTCGATGGCCGAGCCTCGCGGGGGGCAGGAGGCTTGTTATTGGCGTTGGCCTTTGGGTCCCCCATTCCAACGAGCCCCACCCCTTTGGAGGTCAATCCGTTCAACGGAAGGGAAGGGAGCAATGCCACACAAATGCCCCATTGGAATCTTTGAAGAGATTGGAAAACCGTAAAGAATTGCTTTCCGCGCACAATGAATCCTCTTAATACCTTAAGAATTTACATCTTTAGCGGTGAGCTAAAGAGTTTTGGACCACCCATAATTTAATAGCAGCCAGCTTAAATTTATCAGTGAACTGCTTCTTTCTGGCAAGCCCGCTTTTAATTGAAGGCAGGACATTTTTTTGTGAACTGCATGGAAATGATAATGCATCTCTTCTGGATATGCAATCCATAGCCTATGGATAAGTCAAACGACTTATGATTTCTCTATCAAGAAATTGATAAAGGAGTCAACAATTTCAAACTAGAGTTGATCAGTTACAGACCTTCACCGAGCTGAGGTTCGAAGACCTCATAGGTGTTCGGCTGTGGGGGCCTTGGCTTCACAGAGGCCTCTATGAGGCCTCCCAGGGGTTCGGCGTATCGCTGAACCCGTTCGCTGGGATGGGGAAGGGCCCTACAGCCGCCGGCCGTGCATCCCATGTATCCCTTTGGGATGCAAGAGGGGGAAAGCAACTGCCTTTAATCCAGTCGGACGAATGGAGCCTAGGGGCTCCACAACCCTTGAGCGAAACATCAAATATCGATCAGGTGGGAGTCTAGGCTAATCAGGGGTCAGCATTGTTTAGCATAAACAATTTGTTTGACAGCAAACACTAATTTGTATATACTTATCGCGTGGAAACAATCCAAGCCCCCATCGTCTAGAGGCCTAGGACATCTCCCTTTCATGGAGAAGACGGGGATTCGAATTCCCCTGGGGGTATGTTTTATACGCCGTAACATCCTGTAAAAGTTTATCTCCCCTCTTGCATCCCATCGAGTCTCCCTCTTTTTCTTTGTTTAAAGTGTGGGTTCTTTGTTTAAAGTGCGGGGAGGGCGAAGAAACGTAAAACGTGATTCAGGAGGTGCTGTGCAAGTCGTTCATTGACTTACCCCGGGAAAATTAAGGTAAACTGTCATTTCACCATGATCCATCTTGTTTTTAGTTCCTGGAATGCTCAAGTTGAAAGGGTATGCTGTGCAAAAAAGGCCTTTTTCTTTACGGCTCCTCTTTAGCTGAATTGATAACAAGTCATCGACATTGACAATGGCAGAATTTAGGTGTAACCTTACAAAGAAGAGGAAACACTAATTGCAATAAATTTGCTAAATAGTTAGCAATTGTCGACAAGCCGAAAATGGGACAACTTGTATGCAAGGTCTATTTTTCGTGGCCCTATATGAAGAAAGCAAAAGTAATACTGCGGGATAGAGCAGCCTGGTAGCTCGCAAGGCTCATAATCTTGAAGTCGTAGGTTCAAATCCTACTCCCGCTAATATGTAGCCTAATTGATCCGAACACACCCCACCCATTTAGGAGCGCCTTTTGACTAAGCGGGGGTAACCACGAGAAAGGGAGGCCTCAACTTGTTGCTGATTGTAATCATGTTTCCTCGATGGCCTTGCATCCCTTGCACCCCTTTAGGGGTGCAAGGGATGCAAGGCCATCGAGGAAACAGATTTGAACATGGCTATGGGGTTTGGACTTGTAGCCCTTATATCTCCATCTTCATGACCTGCGCTGGTACATAGAATCATTTGATGCTTTCCTCGCTGAACAGTTGCCCCGCTTCGACGTTTATTGAAAAGATGCTAAAATAGAATAAAGGCCTCTCAGGCCTCACAGAGGTTCGGCTGTGGGGGAGGGAACCTCCCCCAACCGCTGGACGGGTTCGGCTCTGGTTGGGTTCGGCTCTGGTTGGGGGAGGGAACCTCCCCCAACTCGCTGAACGGGTAGCAAAACTACCCATTTCCGCTTTCTTTATATGAAGAGGCCAAGCTTAATAGAAGAGAACTACCTCTTCCCTAGGAGCTGGAGCTGAACAATCTTAACGAACAGAATTTGCAACAGACGGAGTCAAAAAATGTCTATCTTAGCTTGGATTGAAGATCAACGTAAACTTAAACTCCTCAATGCTCCAAAATACAACCATCCTGCGTCCGATGGGAGCAAGGGATTATGGACACGGTGCGATCATTGTGGGGTTATTCTCTACATAAAACATCTTAAAGAAAATCAACGGGTTTGCTTTGGTTGTGGCTACCACCTCCAAATGGATAGCCAGGAAAGGATCGACCACTTAATTGATGATAGCACCTGGCGGCCGCTGGATGAAACTCTTTCGCCATGTGATCCGTTAGAATTTCGTGACCAAAAACCTTATACGGAGAGATTAAAGGATGCGCAAGAGAAAACCGGCCTCCAAGACGCCGTCCAAACTGGAACGGGGATGCTAGATGGGATTCCAATTGCATTGGGTGTAATGGATTTCCATTTTATGGGTGGGAGCATGGGCTCAGTAGTAGGAGAAAAAATTACACGGTTAATAGAATATGCCGCGCAAGAAGGGTTAACCCTCGTCTTGGTGTGTGCATCAGGTGGTGCCAGAATGCAAGAGGGAATCTTTAGCTTAATGCAGATGGCAAAGATCTCCAGTGCTTTACAAATTTATCAATCCTGCGCCAATTTGCTCTATATTTCTGTTCTAACTTCCCCAACTACGGGTGGTGTAACAGCAAGTTTTGCAATGCTCGGTGATTTAATATTTGCCGAACCGAAGGCCTTAATAGGATTTGCAGGCCGGAGAGTTATTGAGCAAACATTGCAGGAGGATTTGCCAGATGATTTCCAGACATCAGAATATCTTTTGCACCATGGCCTGCTAGATTTAATTGTTCCACGCTGCTTCTTAAAGCAAGCTCTTTCTGAGACAATAACACTTTATAAAGATGCTCCCTTCAAACGCATTGGTAGCATTCCGTATGGTGTTCAAAACCGTCTCTACTTTCTTACCGAAGAGAAAGCCCGCCGCAAGTGGCACCATTGGACAGCTTCTCTAGGCAATGCCAGTAACGGATTGCCGGTAGATGGTCCAGGCGATGGAAGATTAGGAGAGGCGGAGAGTGATGAGCATCAAATACCGTTACTAAAGGACACCACCTTTAAAGCGACTCTTGCTACCTGGTTGAAAGATTCTTCGCAGGATGAACCATATCGGCGAATACTGGTATCTTTCCAAACTATGTTCAGCTTATTTGCAGCTAATGCAGCTTCGGGCTCTTCTCCGCTCTTTAGCGAAACATGGACCACACAGCAAGCGCGAACAAGCCGGGAGGGCCAACCTGGAGCAGTCTTACATCTTAGCGAGCCTAGTGCTAGTATATCGCAAGAGACAGTCTATGAATCTGGCGATTTCTCTCAGGCATCACAGGATGCCCCGTTAAATGCTATACCCATGGCTGCTGATTTGTTAGCGAGCTCGGCGCCTGCTGATCAGGATGGGAGAGGCATGGCCACAGACATAGGCAATCAGCAAGATAGCAGAAAATCGATTGTGACCCACTCATCTCCTCTCCTTGAATTAGCCCTCGGCATAGGGACCGAAGAAGGTGTTGCCTGGCGTGCTTTCTACGCAAACCAGAAGTTGTCACCAAAGGTAATGTTTCTCAACCATCTAGATCCGGTAGATTCGCCAGATGAAGACAGCAAATCTGCAACGTATAGGAAGGAAGAGGCGGAGAAGAGGTTTTTTTATAGAATGATTCTAAACAATTCAAGGGTTTAGGTCGAAATGGGCATATTCCGGCAACTCAGCAATGGGTTCATTGGGATGGGGTAGGGGCGTGGGGTTCGATGGGATGGGGGGCAAAGCCCCCCACAACCCGTGCATCCCATGCACCCCTAAAGGGGTGCATGGGATGCAAGAGGGGGGAGGTTCCCTCCCCCACGCTCCTACCCCAACCCATGTGAAGCAACTGCCCCCTTGTAGATCGGGGAGAATGTATAGTTTTAATTACAGGTTTAAGGAGCCGACCATCTGTAGTGCATGAGTATTTTAGTTGAAAACTTGTCCAAGACATATGGGGAATTCCAAGCTTTGGATCATATCAATTTGGAGATCAAAGCTGAATGTTTAGTTGCATTGGTTGGAGGTTCGGGCTCAGGCAAATCAACCCTATTGCGAATTATCGCAGGATTAGATGCACCCGATCAAGGCAGGATTTGGTTAGCTGGGAGAAACGCGACTTCGCTTTCTGTTCAAGAGCGTGAAATCGGATTTGTTTTCCAAAACTATGCCTTGTTTAAACACATGACGGTTTATGAAAACATAGCCTTTGGCTTAAGCATACGAGATTTAACATCCACAACCATAACCAATCGAGTAAAACAGCTTTTACAGTTGATCCAATTAGAGGAGTTTGCATCTCGTTATCCAAGCCAGCTCTCGGGTGGGCAGCGACAAAGAGTTGCTCTCGCGCGGGCACTTGCTATTGAACCAAAGGTCTTGTTGCTTGATGAGCCCTTTGGTGCTTTAGATAGTAAGGTGCGAAAGGGATTGCGCAATTGGCTACGCCGATTGCATGAGCAAGTTCCTGTGACAACTGTTTTCGTCACTCACGATCAACAAGAAGCCATGGAGGTGGCAAGCGAAATAGTGGTCCTTGACAGGGGCCACATTCAACAAATGGGGCCTCCTCAAGACATCTATCACCATTTCTATTCACCAAATGCAGGGCAACGAAATTAAAACCAGTCTATTCGTGGTGAATTCAATCAAGCCATTATCCATTATCCATTATAGTGATCCAAAGGTCGAGGAGAAATTGACATGCCCCCACGTTGATCGGGCCTCATTGGGCTAGGTCTCGCACCGTTTAGGACTCGTATCACCGTTAAAGCTCAAAGTGTTTCATGCTACGCGGGGAACAAATTAATGTGACTCTTTCTCCCCAGGTAGGACTTGAACCTACGACCAACCGGTTAACAGCCGATCGCTCTACCACTGAGCTACTGAGGATATATTATAAGTGTACAAGAATTTGAGGCACAGATCAATTCCTTCGCAGCAGGTTTATACGCGCGCGAATGCGTGAGCTTTCAAACCTTCTCCTTTTAAACTTTATAAATCTAAGCATCCTTAAGAGGGGCAGATAAGCAAATGAATCGAAACAGCTAAAAAGGCCCAGAGACCGAAACTATCTGTAATAGCCTAGTTTTTAGCATTTAGAATCTGTATGGAACGACAAGCCTTTGAACCGACTGGGTTGGTACCAAGATCAATTATTAGAACTTTTGATCGGTTTCGGCAACAGCTGTTGCCAGAGACCAAGGCAGCAGCAGTCCAAGAATTCCGCATATCTCGATATCAGGTATTAGTTTCAGTAAAGTCCTTGTTAAGCTTGGTACTTGTTCCACTCGTTATCAATTTCTTGGCAAAAACATTCCTTCTAAATCCTACGACGGAATACCTTTGGAATACCCAGCAGAATGAGATCTTTTTAAACTCATATCAAGAAGATCGTGCACTACACGAAATACACGACTTCTCTGAGAAGGTGTATTTTGAATCGTTGCTTGGTGAGGAGCCCGCCCCTACTACCATGGCCATGCATAAACAGGATAACCAGGGTTCACGGGGCTCACAAGCGCAGGTGTCGCGAGGGGTTGGCATTTCGCTAAACGGGCCTCAACCTCCTTATTGGCAAGAGGCTCGAAAGATTGGGGAGAAGGTCCTACAGCCCCTTCGATGGGATGGGGTTCATTGGGCTGAGGAAGGGGATGGGGTTCGATGGCCACCCCTTCGCTGGCCAGGGGTGGCCATCGAACCCCCGGCCGTGCATCCCATGCATCCCTTAGGGATGCAAGGAATGCAAGAGGGGGAGGCAGTTGCGAACCAATTCCAAGACAAGGCTGTGGAATTGGCGCTCATTTACAACAAAGAAAGCATGTTGGCTATTACAAATGTCTTGGGCGATTTCGTCACATTTGTAACGATAGCTTCCCTATTTGTTTGGATGCGCCCCCAAATCGTAATCTTAAAATCCTTCTTAACCGAATCGATCTACAGCCTCAGTGATACGACGAAGTCCTTCCTCTTAATACTTGTGACTGACCTGCTTGTAGGGTTTCATTCACCTAGGGGGTGGGAAATAGGGATAGAGATGCTCTTGCGACATTTTGGGTTGCCAGAAAACCAAGACTTTATATTTCTGTTTGTCGCGGCATTTCCTGTGTTCTTAGACACAATCTTCAAGTATTGGATCTTTAGGTATCTCAACAAGATTTCTCCCTCAACGGTCGCTACATATCACAACATGATCGAGTAGGGGCAATAAAAAGTTGCATTTGGGCGGCTATTGAAAACCATTTCAGCAATCAAGGGCAGCTCTTTACCAGAAATTAAGAGGCGGCCCTTGAGCTTTTCTCACGAAACGCCCTTGGTCCCATGCGCCCCCTCTTGCATCCCTTGCATCCCTAAGGGATGCATGGGATGCACGGCCTAGCCTCACATCACATATCTTCGGCTGTAGGGGCCTTGGCCTGACAGAGGCTTCTGTGAGACCTCCAGGGGGTTCGGCGTATCGCTGAACGGGTTCGTTGGGCTGGGGAAGGGGATGGGGGAGGGAACCTCCCCCAACCACAGTCCTTGCCTCCCGAAGGGAGGCACGGGGCAGTTGCTTTGCATGGGGGTCCCTGCCCCCAAGGGCCCAAAGGCTATCGAGGGGGGGAGGGACTCTGCCCCTAACCCATGCAAAGCAACTGCCCCTAACTCGCTGAACGGATGACCAACCAAGCACACAGGGTATTTTATCCGACGGGGCGTCTTTGAACCCCACCAAACGACGAACCTGAACGAGGCAGACGAGGCCGGATCAGCAACCCAACCGAAAATACGATGATCACACTTGAAACAGCAAGGTACACCGTAAGGTATTATCCTCTGTTCGATTGATAAATTAACAGAATTGGAATTCCAAGCCCAACCTTCAAAAAAATGCCGAACCTCTGGGAGTCGTGTGAAGCCTTACAAGTCAACGTCTCGTAGCCTGCAACAGCTACAGATTTTTTGAAATGGTTGAACAACAAGATGAACATCTTTTATAATAAGAGTGTCTCTTCAAAACATGTTCCTTTTGTATCAAGCAATTTCGCTTATTCTTAGAAGCAAAGATAGCTTGTACCCATTTTTGTTTATAAAATAGAAAAATAGAAGCTTTTTTCAAGGTTGAACTGTCAAATCACACATTGATCCGTCTGGTGGAACACCGAACACCTGGAAGGCTAAGACATCGAAAAGACTGTAGGGCCCTGTCCCCAATCGTTCGAGTCCCCGGCCCTCGAGAGGAGGAAAAGGTTGAAAAAATCCTCTCAAAGAAAAGATAAGCAATATAATAATGTGGTGCAAGGCAACGAAGAGACACCGCATCAATAATATTGATAAATGGGGAAAATAACTCTCTATTTAAAAGATCACAAAACAATTGAAAATTGGAGATTGGTATGGAAGTCAACATTCTTGGATTAATGGCTACTGCCCTATTTATTATTATACCTACCGCCTTCCTCTTGATCCTATATGTGAAAACAGCAAGTCAAGAGGCATAGTTTTTTTCGCATCAACCATGTGGGTGTATACTGACCAGGTCTGTGGGCCGTTTCTTGACCCAGGAGCCCTGCGCTAATCAAGCCTGCAACAGATTAATTGCAGGCTTGATTAGCGCAGGGCTCTCTACTAGGCGCTGCGATTGTTCCGTCGCAGCCCTATAGTCAAGGGCCATGGGGCTTCGAGCAATGGCCTGAGGCCTCGCAGGTGTATGCCGTATAGGCTTCCCCGGGGTTCGGTGTTTTGCTGAACAAGTGTAAGGCTTTTAAACCCCTGGCTGTTCCGTCGAACAGATGAAGCACCACACCATTGAAGGTTATTGCCGCCGACCTCTCCAATACATTGTTATGCAGTTAAAAACACATCGCTGGGCTGGACAAGCGCTGCAACTGCATTCAACCAATCGATACTACCTTCTCAAATCTCACGGCGAACTGACTGTCAGGTATTAATAAGCTAATCATTTCTATTAACTGAATCTATTCAACGGAATATCCAACATTTTTAGCTATGGGCTCCCCTCGTTGGCTAGGGGCTCGAAGGCCTCACAGGTGAAGGGGGGGGGGGAAACCCCCCCAAGGCTGTAGCGGCCTTGTGGGGAGGGGAGGGGCTTTGAGGGCAGGGTAGGGAGCCCTACCCAACCCATGCAAAACAACTACTCCAACCCATGCAAAGCAACTGCTCCAGCTCCGTCGGACGAAGGGTCTTTGAACCCTAATCAGCCGACTGGGTTACGGTTAGGGTTAGGGCTAGGGGCAGAGCCCCCTATAGCCGCACACATGTGAGGTCTTTGGAACCTCATGCTATTAGGTGACAATGCAACAGATAATTAATAAGCTAATCCCATGCTTCGCGTAGTTTCGGAGCCTAAATAGACACGCACACTAAGGAAATCAGTAGGACATGCTGATTCACATCTTTTGCATCCCACACAGTCTTCTGTGCGGGGAGCCGACGCGATTTGGCTAGCTTTGCAACCATCCCAAGGGACCATTTCTAAAACGTCGGTTGGGCACGCACGAACACATTGCGTGCATCCAATGCAGGTGTCATAGATTTTTACAGAATGAGACATAAACGGTTACCGTGTGGCACTCCAAGAAATAGTTTAAATTCAAGATTGAAGGTTCTTCACCTCTCTCGTCAAGATAGAGGGTTGCTCTTATTATACTTCAACTGGGAGAAAAGACAATCGTTCCCTCGATGGCCTTGCATCCCATGCACCCCTTTAGGGGTGCATGGGATGCAAGGCCATCGAGTCCCCCTCGTTTTTACAAGCTCATTAGGTGAAACACGCGGTGTTGCTAACTGAACCCTTATTCGCGATAAGCATCAGCATAAGGTGATAGACCGACCAGGTTGGTACCGGGGACCTAGGTGTGAAATGTGTCAAGCTAACAACACTCATTCGCGAAGGAGAAGGAGAAAGAGAAGGAGAAGGAGAAGGTTTTTTTTATCAATTAAACCGTTGGCTCATCTTTAACCAATTCACCGCTTCGATATAGTTTGTAGGTGCTAATCGAATTGCTTCCTTCCAATAATCAGCTGCCTTGTCAAAGAGCATGGTAGCAATTTCTGGCTGACCATTTTCAATGGCTTGCTCCCCCCGAAAGTGATAAATAACAGCTATGTTGTTCAGTGCTTGCGGAAGCGACGGGTTTCTCTCAAGAGCTTGGTAATAATATTCTAACGCTCTACCGTGTTCACCGTTACTGGTGTGTATCAGCCCAATGTTGTACAAAATGTAGCTACGGTCATAGGCATCGGTTTCAAAACGCATAGCTTGATAGTAGTTTTGCAATGCTTCGGCATATTCCCCGGACGCTTGCGCAGACATCCCATCTCTGTAATACATGAAAGCTTGTTTCTCACGATATGAGGTAGGCAACACCTTTAACAGAATATCGGCAACAACCGTAAAGGTTTTATCAATAAAATTGTCGTTTCTTTGGGATCTAGGCATAACAGCTTCCTATATAAACATTACTAATTACAATGTGGCCTCACAGCTGTGAGGCCAGGCCATCGAGGGAGCTCGATGGCCGGGGACTATAGAGTCTCTTCCCCATGCTAACGAACCTCCAACCCAGAAAGAGGCGTTGATCATCTCTGGTAGATAAAGTGCCCAATTCACCGTTTCCGTAGCAAATTATGTGGACAAAGATGCCGTAAAATTTTTTTCTCTTATTCTCTACGGTACCTTTTGCCTCCAAAGACCGTCTAAAAGCTCACCTTAATTAGTGGATATTATATGCTAATCCGGCTTTTTTCCACCTAACTTTAATTTGCTAGATTACAATCCACTCGTTCTATAGATATAGGTCTCACAAGCCTTATACCCCTTACACGGGTTCGGCAGTTCGATGAATGGGTTCATTAGCCGCTGGTCCGACTGAGTTAGAAGCAGCTGTTTTGCATGGGTTGAGGGAAGGGTCCCTACCCCTCTTCGATGGCCTTTGTGGCCACCAAGGCCCCAAAGGCCATCAAGACCACAAAGGCCCCAAAGGCCACCAAGACCACAAAGGCCCCAAAGGCCACAAAACCCCCAAAGGCCATCAAAGGGGGAAAAATCCATTTTTGAGCTTATCCTCTTCCTTGATTGACGAGGAAAGTGATTGAAAAACTATTTGCGTTTCTAGAATTTACAGAATCAATAATTTAACCTATAATGTTTGCAGGCCTTGGTGGTGGAATGGTAGACACGGTTGATTCAAAATCAACTGCGATGAGCGTGGAGGTTCAAATCCTCTCCAGGGCAAGCTAAGATTCAAAGGCCTTCTAACCACAATACCAAGCCTCACAGGCCCCTGTTGTGAGGCTTGGTATTGTGGTTAGAAGGCCTCATTGAGGAGACAGCCAAAGGGGCAGTTGGTATAGTGCCAGGCCCAAATGGTCTGTGGTTGGGGGAGGTCTTGGGGGCATGGGATGGGGGAGGTCTTGGGGGCAGGGGCCCCCATGCGCAGCAACTCCCCCAACCCATGCGCAGCAACTCCCCCAACCCATGCGCAGCAACTCCCCTACGCCCCTGCCCCCTCTTGCATCCCATGCACCCCTTTAAGAGTGCAAGGGATGCACGGCCGGGGGTTCGATGGCCACCCCTGGCCAGCGAAGGGGTGGCCATCGAACCCCCATCCCCATCGAACCCCCACTGCTTCGAGAAACGGAGTGAGAGGGATTCGAACCCTCGGTACAGTTTCCTGCACACACGATTAGCAATCGTGCTCTTTCGGCCACTCAGACACCACTCCCTCACTTGTTAATTCCACTGTAGAACTTACAATTTTTGAGCTGTGCTTAACTTTTCCACCGCCAGCTTATGAAGCTGACAAATGATAACACTACGTTACAATGCTTCCAAATATGGGGCCCTTGTCAAGCGGAACACCGAACAGCTATGAGGCCTGCTTGGCTTTATGCTAATCGTCCGACAGAACGCCTTGGGGGGGTTCCCCCCCCTCACCTGTTAGGCCTCCCATTTCTTTCTATACCGGAAGAGGTAAATCGTTTGTCTGAAAATTGTGGTTTATCTGGATCTATTATACGAGAAAGAAGAAGTAGAAACAACCTTGTTATGACTGGAGTCGACCCCACTAAGGAAACTTGTAGAGGTAAAGAACAGGCAATATTATCCGACAGAGTGCTGAACACTTGTGAGCCCTGCACCCCAACCACCTTGATTTTTAAAACACATGCTGCTACCATGCTAACTAACACATGCATAATTGCTTTGTAAAAGTGAGTGGGCTCATCGTCTAACGGATCAGGACAGAAACCTTCTAAGTTTCGAATGTAGGTTCGATTCCTACTGAGCTCATTAATGGACTTTGTTAGTGAAATATTAGCCAAACGCAGAGCCCGCTCAGCGAAACGTCGAACCAGTGGCCTTCGAATCCCAGAGGATCTCGTCGAGCCTATTTGGCGTTTAGCTAAGCGGGTGGATTTTAAAATCATCACCCCGATAAGGGGTTTTTAACACATGAGCAACAGATGTAGGTTCGAGCAGCTTTGAAGGGTTTAGCTGCAATCTGTTTAACCAGCTAATACTCGCCATGTCAATCAGGAGATCATTGTTTAAAACAAATGTTGCCATCTTGGTGGTATTTAACAACCGCCCTTTGCCCCCCTACGAGAGTCAACAACTGATTGGTTGAAGTCCGTCTTGCAATGCAAGCATTGCAGAGCGATGCCGTTCTGCAAGTTGATTAGATCATAGAAACATGTTCTTCTGCGCGTCCGGGATCAATGCCTGGTCATTTAGATAAAGGGCAAGATCAACCGCCTTCTGCTCAACATCCTCATTGCCTTCAGCCGCTCTTGAACAGGGGGTAGCCCGGCTTGGAGGTCGTCCAAAAGCCAGGTAGGAAAATAAATGCTTCCTCTATCTCTCATTACACGGAGTTAAGTTCGAGCAATTCGGCCGTGCTGGGATCCCGAGCCTTAAGTCAGTTAACAATAGAGCCTTACTTCTACTGCTGTGGTATCGGACAAGGATACGAAATCCGTGCCGCAGGTGTACTACCTCACTTTGATATACCTACAGCAACAGCAACAGCCAAAGGGAAAGAATGGAATAAAGGGCTTGCCAGGCTTCTTCCAGCTGAACACAAGCCACTACCTCTACCAGACAATTTAGATGATCAAGTAAATCGAGAAAACGGCAACAAAATCTTTAACGCAGCCAAGCCTCTATATGTCTTTTCCAACCAAGGCCAAGAGAAAGAAAGGATTACGAATCACGTAGACAAATTAAAGGCTTTAGAAGCCGAATCTTCACAACCCGTAACTCCTACGGGGAAAGGCAAGAAAAGAGCAACAGATTTCAGATTAGGTACTCTTTACGACTCCAGCACCCTTATTTTCGATGACACAATTGAGGCAGGGTACTACATTGAAGCTGGGACATTCATGACACATTACAAACAAAAGGAAAAAAGGGTAAAAGCTGTAGACAACCGGAATCATAAGGTAATTCCTGTAAGTATGGGAGAAGCTAGAGATGGTGAGATAACTGAAGGTTTAGTATCTCCTGAAACGTCACTACGACATCGTTCGACACGCGATCCGGAAAGCACTACACACGGCGATCTTTATCTGCGTAAAGGTAAATACTGGGCCTGTGTAGGAGATATGAGTCTTAATACTGGGAAGGCACGAGAGCCTAACAAGGACACTAAACTCGACCGAACTGCAACTACTCGCCGCTAGCCGTGTATAGGATATATCAGTTTTCATACTGGGATTGCACAAAATTTTAACAATGAAGGCAAACTCAAACGAGATGCAACTTGTAAGCGATAGCTTATAACCTAAAAATTTGAAACAATTACCAAACACTTCCATGAATAACTCGAAACGAGATCTCAGGAAACCACCATCTTACTGCTGCCGACAGATGGAGCAGGAAGTATCTAGTGGTGACATAATCGATTATGTATGGTGCACGAGAGACTACATTATAAGGAGTTCAACGGTCCCCGAAGTCTTTGTACACGCGGGCTATTGCCCTTTTTGTGGCCAAGATGTAGGAAAATATTCCGTACAGGGTGAATACGTAGAAGCCTATTACAAGGCAAAAGAGGCGGATCCAACACTGCCAGACATTGACTGTGATTCAGAGCTAGAGGAGTTTCAAGAGAACTTCCTCCGGACCTGGGAAGCAGAGAACGAAAAATAAAACAGTTGAGTTGAGGATTTGATGGGATGTGGCAGTTGCTTCGCATGGGTTGGGGGCTCGATGGCCGCCCCTTCGTAGGCCAGGGGCGGCCATCGAGCCCGTTGGGGCAGGGGCCCCAAAGGCCATCGAGCCCGTTGGGGCAGGGGCCCCAAAGGCCATCGAGCCCGTTGGGGCAGGGGCCCCAAAGGCCATCGAGGGGGAGGGATCTCTCCCCTACCCCACAGCTACATAGCCCCTGGCCAACGAAGGCCTCACAGGTGTTCGGCGTTTCGTCGAAGGGTTGTGGGGGCTCCTGCCCCCATCCCAACGAGCCCCCAACCCATGCAAAGCAATTGCCCCCAAGCGCTGAACGGGTTGTAGGGGCTCCTGCCCCCTCGATGGCCACCCATCCCACCGAACCCCCAACCCATGCAAAGCCTCTCAAGCGATGTACAACACATAGAAACGATCAATAACGCACCGAAACGGACCCAAAGGGGTCAAAAACAGAGCGAGACCGAATTGAAACGCTCGAAAGCGAATAAAAAGGGACAGGATGCGGCCAATAACGACAAAAAATCAAATGAAACGGTTGCAAACAGATCAATGAGGGACTAGAACGCATCGAAACGGATGATTTGCATATATCATGTCATCTCAAAAAAAGAGCTAGCTGGTTAACAAATTTAAAACAGTTCTATTTGAAAAACCAAAATAGCAGCCTTGGAGCTGGTTTGTTGTATAGGCTTGTTGATTGTTAAAACAATCACACATTAGATTGTGTTTGTTAAATTGTTAGGCGGATTCAACCAATCAGTTTGCGTTGCTTGGGATGCTGCTTTAGAGCGGAAAGGGGGTTTGTTGGGGCAGTTGCTTGGCATGGGGGCCTTGCCCCCTCGATGGCCTTTGGGGCCCCATCGAGCCCATTGGGGTTCGTTGGCCACCCGTTCGACGAAACGCCGAACACCTGTGAGGCCTTCGTAGGCCAGGGGCGGCCATCGAGCCCCCGGCCATCGAGGGGGCAAGGGCCCCAAAGGCCAGCGAGGGGGCAGCAATCTGAACGAGCAGTAGGCACAGAGCCGGAGAGCCTAATTCTATTTCTATGATCTGCTTTTGTTATCTGCGGAGGGTTTAGGCATAGAGCCGAAGAGCCTAATTCTATTTCTATGATCTGTTTTTATTATCTACTGAGGGTTGATTGGCTGCTTATCGACAAACAATGGAAATGGGTAGCAAAGCGACGCAAGAGGTTCAAAAGATAAGGTTGTTTTGCCAGGCGTGTGGTCGATAGGGTTTTAAGCCCCATCGACCACAGACTAGGCAAGACTGCTCAAGAGCCATTTTGCAATGCGTTGCTGTGGGAGGGGAGGAATTCCTCCCGCAACCCAAGCAATGCAAGGAATTAGCCGTTTACAGCTGGAGCTTCCACAGACGCTAGGTCTAGAGGGAAGTTGTGAGCGTTACGCTCGTGCATTACTTCCATACCAAGGTTGGCACGGTTGATAATGTCACCCCAAGTGTTGATCACGCGACCTTGAGAGTCTACTACAGACTGGTTGAAGTTGACTTTGGACCCATAGGTTTCCCTATGGAAAGGACTATATCATCATCTCTAGCGGTTGCATCACTCTAGGATGCACGAATGGCATCACTCTAGGATGCACGAATGGCATCGCTATGCGATGCACGGCTAGAGAGCTGGGCGCTAACGTGCGGTTATTGTTGGGACTCACGCACTAGTCTCTGAACGTTCCGGGGAACCTTTGCCCTCCCCGGCTTCGCTGCTGATTGCCATATCTGTGTGGGGATCTTCCCACTCTCATGCTTTGCATTCATGCTTTGCATGGGGGTTTCTACCCCCTGAGAGTGAAGAATCGCCACCTGTCGAGTCGAGTCATTGCAGTTGCATTGCTTTGCGATGCATGGATGATCGACGCGTTGTCGTTACAGACGTAGGTTTCCAGCAGTTCACCCAGTTTTCTGCGCGTAGTTGCCTACACAGCGCAGGGGCTCATACCGAACCCGTTAAGGTTGAATGCCATGGTAGAGATACCAAGAGCAGTGAACCAGATACCAACTACAGGCCATGCAGCAAGGAAGAAGTGAAGAGAACGAGAGTTGTTGAACGAAGCGTATTGGAAGATTAGACGACCAAAGTAACCGTGTGCAGCAACAATGTTGTAAGTTTCTTCTTCTTGACCGAACTTGTAACCAGCGTTAGCAGATTCGTTCTCAGTAGTTTCACGGATAAGAGATGAAGTTACCAATGAACCGTGCATTGCTGAGAAAAGTGAACCACCAAACACACCAGCAACACCTAGCATGTGGAAAGGGTGCATAAGGATGTTGTGCTCAGCTTGGAAAACAATCCATCTGTTAATGAAGGGCTCTTTATCCCTTGCTCTCCGCATTTCTACGGAGTGTCGGACTATATCATCATCTTTAGCATCCTTTGATGGATGGTTTCCATCCCTTGGCCTAAGGGCCATCGCTAAAGATGTCGGGCGCTCGTGGAAGGGTTATTGGTTGAGTTCCTCACCTTCTAGTCTCTGAACCTTTCCTCCTACATCTTCTCCCAAAACCCTCTCTGGTGCA